GACTCGACAGACAGCTTATCCGACGAGAACAAATACCTTCACCGTGTTTTTACGAAGAACAACTACAACAACGACTTCATCCGACGAAACACTCACCGACCCACTACCACTACCGAAACAAACGACACCGCAACCCCTACGACTACAGCAACCATACCGTACATAAAAGGCATGTCTGAAAACATCTCGCGCATCTTACTACCCTTCAATATCCGCGTCGCCCACAAACCCATCACCACACTACGTCAGTTACTAACCAACGTTAAAGACAAAGACGAACCGAGGAACAGACAGGGAACGATTTATAAGATCAATTGTTCCGACTGCCAAGCCTCCTACATCGGTGAGACTGGCAGAAACCTCACAACAAGACTGACTGAACACAGACGGGCGACGAGGAAAGGTGATGTCAGCAATCACATTGCTGAACACCATCGACTTACCAACCACAACATTGACTGGGACTCTGCGCAATGCCTAACCTACAGCACTGACTATTTTCAACGACTGACTCTGGAAAGCTGGTTTACTAACTTAGAACAGACTCCCCTAAACAGATGTCAACAACTACCCGCTCCATACAAACGACTCATTCACGACATAAACATCACAAACGACCGAAAAAGAACGACCTAACTTTACCTACAGATCGAAACAGACCACTGATCACGACCGACTTACGTCACTTGAGTCTTACAGCCAATAACATCACGGCAAAACCAACCGATCATTTCACACGAACTGGAATAAGAACATTCTACTGACAACAATCATTCACTTGACTCTGATGATGACTTCCGCACAGGTTGTCGAAACGTCAGTCTCTACCACCGACAACAGTCCTTCTCAGGACTACACTCACCCGGACGATCAGACTACGCCTTCACATGTTACCCCCGGGTTTAAACCATTTACTGCATTACCATTTCAACTTTGTTGATATATCTAAATTATTTCGTTACCCCTTCCGACGCAGCCCCAAACAGTTTCTTTCGAAACTATCGGCCTTTATTGACTACGCTAAGTTTACTTAAAAAAACGATGACCATCGACATGATTTAAGAATACTTGGCTTCAATTTAACTAGTGTTTCAAAATATGGACCTACATAATGATATCAAAGAGACAATAGTCACAAAAGATTGAATGTATCAGGCATTTCTTGTGTTGTTGGAGTTTTCTCGTCGTAGATAGCTTTGTACACTCACCCCGACCCTTAAATACCCTAACATACCTTTCTGTAGTCACACAAACCCACAGAGAACCACTTATGTCTATCTCTATCTTTTAATTAATTCTTATTTCATTATATATCCACAATTCTTATTTTACCTGTGTTTTTCAATTTCTGTTGTTTTGGTTTTTCCTGGGTTACTTTAAGATACCACTATAGCCTTCTTGCGCTTCTGTTAAATCATGTTTAAATAGTTCGTGCATCTATTTAGCGTGATCTTGCGTCGTAAGTCGATAATTCATTATTAAAGTTGAATTCAAATTGTAACACGAGCATTTGGCGGGGTGGGGGAGGGGGAGAGTCATGAGAATATTACAGGGCCTTCTAGGGGGGATCAGGTAGATTTTATCGTGACACAACCAAAACCCTTCGAGACCCCTCCCTACCGAGCGATAAATGATGGCTGGTCCGCTGGTAAGGTTAGCCTGCAGCGCAGGCGTCTTATTAGGGCTAGTTGACATTTGAGCGTCAGCCACCCCTTTAATACAAATTTCATTCTCTCCCCAGCCTTCCGCTGCCAGAAAAATCAAAGATGACGCCCATTTCCCCCTAAGAATATATTGAGCACTCACTCGCCCAAATTACGCCTGCACTGCAAGCTATTGCTAGGTTGATGAAATTTAAATAGTCCAGGCGCATGTTGTTGCACGAGATCGCGTAATTTTTCTTGGTCAGTCTTTTCACGATGGTTTTGTGCACGTATGCTACAACTTAAGTCACTTAAGCAGGTTGCTGAAGGATGCATGTCCAAACAAAAATAAATCTACAGAGGCAAGGAGTCTTTTTTCAGCAGTTATCACTTTTATAAAAAAAAAACTGCCAATTATATGTTATAGACAAGTACACTCCCTCCCTCGTAAGATTTAAGGATTTATATCACTTGTGTTTTCCGAAGTTGCAGCACTTGCTAATTTTACCTTTAAAGTCCCTATGACACTTATTTATTTTCTATTTTACATAGAAACATAATGACTCTAAAAAAAGTTTTCGCAATATTTGCGGTATTTTACCCTTTTCTGAATTTTTCATCAAGCTCTTTAATCCGCAGTTAAAATGTCTGGCCAAGCAAAGAGGGGACTGGGCGCCGTTACGTCACGGTAGTAAGCATGGGTTCTTATCATGCAAACGAGCTGTGCACTTTGTAATTAGTTATTTCCCTGGCTATTTCAGTAATATTTTCGTGCAATTATGTCCGATGTTTCGTGTTGTTGTGACGAAAGTTTCTCCTCCGATGACTCAGAGGTTAATTATATTCCGGGATACGTGTCGATTGAAGCCGAAATTACAACTCAAAGCGGTGAGATGGAGGACAGAGAGGACAACAGGGAAGGGCCACAGTCAAACGAGCGGATGAAGAGTGGACAAGAGAGTATCGAGGACGTATAGGACAAAAAAAGAAAACGACAGAATGTTAACAAGTCGGTTGAAAGGTCTCGCATCTACGAGCCGAAGTAGTACGTTATATGAATTTCTGCCGACTTAAGTGACCGCAAGTTCGAGCTGGACACCGTCGTCTTCTCAAGCCGGTTTCTCAAATGTGGGGTCAAATGTCACATCAAGATCGCTCTTATTTCTCTTTTGTAAGACTTCCAAAGTTTTGAAGCAAATAACTTGCAGTTTGTTTGAAATGTTTGGACATAACAAAAACATCAGTTTTGTAATCAGCCCATCGTCTTCGACCTTTCGAGCGGGAATTTACAAACTGTAATCAGTCTTCTTATTTGTGTTGGTAATATTATTAGGTGTTGTGGCAGTTTTTAAATTTTAAAGAATGTCATTGTCGTGAAAAGATCCAGGATTTGCCTCTGTACGTCTTAATAAATGGTTCTGCGACAGGCAGCCAATGCTATCCACTTTAAGCCGAAGCAAAAAGGATAGGCTTAGCTTCAGGAGGAACAAGGAATCTCGTTGAGAAATCCTACGGCTTGAAATGTACCTTATATTTATTCGCCTATAAGCCCAGCGATTTTTGCACGAAAATAACCTGGAAACTAGTCAAACGTTGACAAGACTGGGGGCTCGGCTTGTAGCCGGGTATTTCTTCCGACGAGAGCCTACCGTAAATCGAATGTATATTCGGCTAAAAGCCGTGCGATCATCGACATACACAAATTACTAGTCGGATACGCAAAATTCTTGTTACCCAATTACTTTTACTTGAATGGAGCCGTTTTGTTTAGTGATAACTTCACGAATGAAGTGTTACTTCGTCGTCTCCTTTGCTGTCGGCGTCAAGGCTATCTTATCGCTAGTTCAGGCAATTTTGTCCGTGTCAATGTCATCATCTTCTGTGCGGTTGAGCGCGTTCGAAACCACGCTTGTTTTATAGATGATTTCTCCATCATCTCCTCTGGAATTTCTTCTCAAGCCCGTTTCACCTTCGATCGCTGCACAATTGCTTCCGGGGACGGGAAAACGAGATACCCTGGAAACGAGGTTTACTATCACATCAAGAAATTTAAAAGGCACAAGTTTGTCTCTGGCAAAATTAGTTTTTGGTCACTCACTTCTCACTCTTCTTAATTATCTTTAACAAATTAAAAATCATATAGATATCAGGATTAATGTCAAAAATAATATATTAAGTAACATTATATCAACTATACTTAATGATGAACTGCAAAATATTGATGTTTGGCTAAGATGTAATAAACTTTCAGTTAATATAAAGAAAACTACCGTAGTCATTTCAAATTAAACCCAGACAGAAGAAATTTAACTCCACCATTTCTCTCTCCATGCGGGGTGGGGGGTGGGGTGGGGAAACCCCTACAACAATCTAACGTAACTACATTCCTTGGGATCTATATTTACGATCATCTCACCTGGAAACACCATATCAACTATGTATGCAAACAAATCGCTAAATCAATAGGTACAATTATTACATCACTCGCAGCGCCCGTGGACAAGATGAAACGAATCCTGTGTTCTGATTGGCTA